ATTGACTGCTTACTATGTGAGAGGTGCAATTCTAAGCACCCATTTAAGCCTCACGAAACCCAACGAGCTAGGAACTGTCATTATCAGCATCCTTTATAGATGAGGCAACAAAGTTACAGAAAAGTTTATTTGCCCCTGGTCACACAGCTGGTAAATGACAGCAAAGGGATTTAAACCCTGGCAGGATGGCCACCTCTGAACCATGACAGTATATTGTAGCTAGAGAGGAACAGTGACCTGGGTCCCCTGGACTCCTGAAATTTGAAACTGGTTGCTCTAACTCTACCTCAGTTTCCCTAACATCAGAGGAGAGAGTAAAGCATGAGTAGAGAGGTCAACACTCTCTGCATAAGACACCAGGATAAACCATCATTCCTTTTGTGTTCCTTTCCTGTTTTTACCATATGCCCACCACGCCCCATTACTGAAATGATACATAAGTATTACAGAAAACGGAAGAGGCAAAAAAAGACAACAACAAAAAACCTCTATCCCATCCATAGTCTGACCAGTCATCCAGGGGTAACCACTGCTAACATTTTGGCACATTTCCTTCTATTCTTTTTTTAAATGTCTTTTATTTACATAGCTGAGATCATATTTAAATGTAATTTTGGACCCTGCTTTTTTTACTTAATATCAGAGCATAAACTCTTTGTAAATGTTATTTTAAATGGCTGCATAATAATCCATCACATGGATATTCTATAATTTATTAACTGTTCCTTCACAGTTGGATATTTAGGTTGTTTCCAGTATTTTCACTATTATAAATAACACCACTATGAACATTCTAGTCCATAAATCTTTGTGTGCATTACAGATTATTGTTTTAGGATAGTTTCCCAGAAATGTAATCACTAGGTTAAATGTCATGAATATTTTAAAGATTGTGTGGAGATGTAGTATTCTTTACAAATAACAAATACATTCTTTCTGAATAAGTGGAAAGGCTTCTAGGGAATCAAAAGTGAGTATATGTTTATTCCTGTGAATAAATTTGGAGGGGGTGGATGACAGAAAGAACTGGGAACTTTCTCACTCCTTGGTTAGTGCAGTAACCACTGGACTTTTTCTCTTATGAGCTAGTGCCCAATTTTTAGGGGTACATGCTGATTAAATATTCATCAGCTGAGGGTTAGCAAACGGCAGCAAATCTCAGGCATGCAGTTTGTATGCCTTTTGTATGTAGATTGTGCATAGAATCAGTTAGACTTGGCACTTCAGCATTTTTCACGTGGCACAGCACACAGCACGTTCACCACCATTATCTCAACAGCTTCTCACAGCTCCTGGGTGAGATGGATTGGAATAGCCATTATCATTCCCAGGTCATTGGTCAGAAACTCAGGCCCAGAGAGGAGAAGTGACTTTCCCAAAGTCACAAAGCTGGTTGGAGAGGGCTGGGACTAGAATTCTAGTGTCATGGCTCTAGGGTTAAAACTCCTATTATGGACTGAATAATGTCTCCTCTCAACCCAGCAATTCATATGTTGAAGCCCTAACCCCCAATGTGACTGTATTTGGAGATAAAGTCCACAAGGAGGTAATGAAGGTTAAATGAGGTCATAAGTGTAGGGCTCTGATCCAACAGAATTAGTGTCCTTATAAGAAGAGGAAGACCAGAGCTCTCTCTCTCTCTCTGTATGCTCACACAAAGAAGAGGCCAGGTGAGGACACAGTGAGAAGTCAGCCATCTACAAGCCAGAAGAGAGGCCTCACCAGAAACCAACCCTGCCAACACCTTGATTTTGGACTTCCAGCCTTCAGAACTGTGACAAAATAAATTTCTGTGTTTAAGCCACCCAGTCTGTGGTATTCTGTTATGACAGCCCTAGCAGACTGTTACAGATTTTGGTACCAAGAAGTGGGGTGCTGCTGTAACAAATGCCTAAAAACGTAGAAGTGGCTTTGGAACTGGGTAAAGGAAGAGGCTGGATAAGCTGTGAGGTGCATGCTAGAAAAAACCTAGATTGCCTTGAAGGGACTGTTGGTAAAAATATGATGTTAAAGGCGATTCTGGTGAGGGCTCAGGAAGAAAAGAGAAGAGCTGTAAAGAAAGCTCCTATCATTTTAGAGAAGACACGTATCATCGTGAACAGAATGTTGGTAGAACTATGAATGTTAAAGGTGATTCCAGTGAGGTCTCAGATGGAAATACAGAACATGTTATTGGAAACTGGAAGAAAGGTGATCCTTGTTATAAAGTGGCAGAGAACTTGGCTGAATTGTGTTCTAGTGTTTTGTGGAAAGTAGAAATTGCAAGTGACAAACTTGGATATTCAGCTGAGGAGATTTCTAAGCCAAGTGTTGAAGGTGTGGCCTGGTTTCTCTTTCCTGCTTATGGTAATATAAAAGGAGAGAGGTAAATTGAAGCAATTGCTAAGCAAAAAGGAACCAGAGCTTGAGGATTTGGGAAATTCCCAGCCCATCCATATTGCAAAAAAATGCATGTTCTAGAGAGGACATCAAGGATGTGGCTGGACAATCACTCTATACGGAGAAGACCCATGCACTTAATCAGCCATCTCAGCAGAAACCAACAGAGACGCCATTACACCAGCAGAGACAGTGCCAGTTAGGACCAAAGGGAACGGAGACAGGATGAAATAAAGAAGGCTTTTGGAATTCTGGGATCCTGGGACAGGACAATAGAGCCATTTGGTTGTGAATATGCCTTAGCCTTCAAGAAAAGGGAAGAATGGCCCTGAAGGTGATTCACAGGTCATCAGGGCTGCCATTCCCACTGCATGTCCAGAGCACACAGACCCAGAAAGCAAGGCTATTTCCTTCTTGGTTTCAGAGGATGGGGCCCCCTCTTGCTTTCAGGGAGCCAGGCTGCCCCTTCACAGTGCCTCAGGTGCAGCACTGCAGCAAAAAGCGACAGGGGTGGGGCTGCTGCCTAGAGCTGAGGGGGCAGGGCCACTGCCTAGGGCCGTGGGGATGACACTACAGCCCCAGTGGGCCACGAAGGCAGAGCATCCAGCCAGAGGATTATTCTAGAGCTTTAAAATTTAATGGAATTTGCCTTGCTAGGTTTTGGACTTGCTTGGGACCCATCACTCCTTTCCTTTTTCCAATTTCTCCCTTTTGGAATGAGAATGTCTATCCTATACCTGTGTTTTGGAAGCACATACCTTGTCTGGTTTCACAGGTTCGCATCTGGAGAGGAATTTTGCCTCAGGATAACTTGAGTCTCACCCACGTCTTATTTAGATGCTGTTTAGATGAGACTTTGGACTTGGGATTGATGCTGGAATGGGTTAAGACTTTTAGGGTTGTTGGGATGCAGTGAATGTATTTTGCATGCAAGGAGGACACGCATTTCAGGCGGCCAGAGGATAGAATGTTATGGACTGAACTGTGTCCCCCTCAAATTCATATGTTGAAGCCCTGATCCCCAAGTGGCTGTATTTGGAGATAGAGCCTATAAAGAGGTAATAAAGATTAAATGAGATCATAAGGGTGGGGCTCTGATCTGAGGGGATTAGCGTCCTTTCAAGACAAGGAAGACAGCAGAGCTTGCTCTCTCTACACAAGACAAGAGGCCATGTGAGGACAAAGCAAGAAGGTGGCCGTCTACAAGCCAGGAAGAGAGGTCTTACCAGAAATCAACCGAGCCAGCACCTTGACCTCAGACTTCTAGCCTCCAGAACTGTGAAAAAATAAAATTCTGTTGTTTAAACCATCCAGTCTGTGGTGTTTTGTTATGGCAGCTTGAGCAGACTAATACAGCCTCTAAATACATCAATAGCAAGAACCATATCTTTTATTTATCCCATGGGTGCCCGTTGGTTTTGACAGACCTACTTACTAGTCATTTTCAGGAGTGCCTTGTCCTCTGCAGCCCACAGCATCTTGTTTACTTGTGCAAACCTGGGTTTGAAGAAAGGCTCAGTGAAAGGAACAGATGACAAGAGGTCTGAGGCTCAGTTTCTAGAACCAGGCTTTGCCAAAACTTGCTACGGGATCTTATGCAAGCCACTTCTCTCTGATTATCAGTTTATCCATCTACAAAATAAGGTGTGCTGCATCAGGCTCTGGAGTTGTACGGATGTGGGCTTCAATTCAGACTCTGACATTAGCTGTGTGACCTTGGGCAAATTACTTAGCTTCTCAGGTTTGGTTTTCTCATCTCTAAAACAGAATAATATTAGTACCTACCCCAGGGGATTATCGGGCTAATGAAAAGAGATGAGGTATGCAGAGTCCCTGGAACATATTAAAGGACAATAAAAAGTAGTTCTTTTCCTAGATTAATTAAGTTAATGTATGCAAAGTGCTGAGGACAGTGTCTGGCCCTTAGTAAGGGTGTTATCAGTCTTAGTTATCATTATTTTCTTACTCTAGCAGATAGTAAGCCCTCAGTAAGTGACAGTAGTGGTCGTCATTTTCAGGTACCATCTCCCTCCATTTCCCTGCAAAGCCCTAAATTCTAACCATCCCAAATGCTGGTTTTCCCCCAGTACAGCCCATGGGCTTTCTCTCCCTAGCACGCTTGTCTAGGCCGTTTTCCCTGCCTAGTGCTCCCTTTCTCTTCCTCCCGAGCTCAGATGTCTTCTCCTCTGGGAATCCTCTCTTCACCACCCCCTTCCTCCCAGTCAGAAGGAATGGCTTGATTTGTGTCCTGCTAAGAAAACAACTCCACATAGCACTTAGTTCTTTGTGCCTGGTGGATCAGTTAACTCTTTCGGAGCCTGCCTCCAAGAGTGGTGACTTCTGGGGGACGGCGCTGGGTGAGCAGCCTCCGGGTGTCACCCAAGGCGTCTAGCACAGTGCGAGACAGACTAAGCGTAGAGAGAGTCCAGTTTAACTCCTAGAAGGCGGAGCCTCACTGCCTAGGCCGCACTCGCTGTGAATCCCTGCCTCTCCTCGGGCTCGGACTCGCTCCTCTGCTCCCCATCACCTGAGCCGGCCTGGCTCTCCAGGGCTCCCCAGGGCTCCTCCCCTCCCGACCCCTCCTGCCGACGCGTCCCCTCCTCCACCCCATGGCTGAGCCCTGCGGGATGAGGGCGGAGCGTCGCAGCTGATGGCTGGGAGCCGGGATGGGAGGCTGGGCGAGCAGTGGGTTCCAGACGCGCCGCCGCCTGGCTGCGGGGCTGGCATGGCCGTGTGCTAGTGAGCGGGGAGCGCGCGAGGGGCCGCTGCCACCATGCCCAGGGGACTGGGCGCCGCCCGGCTCTGCCTGCTGGCGCTCGCCCTGCCGGGATGGACCAGAAGTAAGTGGGCGGACGCTGGAGTACTGGGGAGGGATGAAGGCGGGTGGGTTGGGTGGCTGGGGACCTGAGGGTCGTCTCCCGCAACTCCGCAGGACTGCGCCCCCGCCGTCCCCCAGCCCAGGAGCCCCGGCTTTGTTCCCATTTTGTGCGCCCGGAGAGGTGGTGGATGTCCGGGAGACCCAGAACAGGCAGAAAACAGCCGGTCCCCTCCCTCGCTTGCCTCCCCCTCTCTCTTTTTCCTCTGTTTTTCTGCTTTTGGCTTCTCTTTCCGTTGCTTTCCTAGTCTCTTTTTCTTTGTGTGTGTGTTCCTATAAATATATACTGATAAAATTGGAACCATACCATATGTACAGTTTTGTGCCTTGCATTTTCCACTGCACATTATGAGCATTTCCCACGTCGTTACATACTTCAAAAGCATGATTTTGATGACTGTAAATTCCGTCAAGAAATCGCAGAAGTCTCATTTTCAAAAAGTTAAAAACATGACTCTCGTACAAATACAGGATGAATGGATGGCAAAGATTTATTTAATTCATTAATGAGGCAGTGAATAGAATGGTAAAGCTGATTCAAAGCATTAGAAGACCTGGAGCAGTACAGGTATTGGAGAATATTGATATCATATGCTGGGACAGATACAAAGTGGTCAGTGCCCCATGGGGCCAAACAACCATAATTCTTAGTTATCTTTCCACTATACTGAAGTCATTTGCATCTCTACCAGACAGAAATCTAGAGTTAACACATGACTTCAGAGTATAGTCTTTTAATTAATAGGAAATGTAAAAAGTCAAACAAAGGTACATTCCTCTGATTAATTCAATGATCTATGGGAGGGCCTGTTCAACAATGCTCCAATGTGATATTGAAAGACATCCTGCTTGCTCTTTGTCTTATTTCCAAGTTTTGAACAATTTTTCTTAAGATGTACTGTGTTCCTCTATGATTGAGCCTTTAGATTGCTTTCAGTATTTTTTGCAATCATAAAGATCATCTCATTCCATTAAACATTCCATTAAATGTCATATAATTCCTTTCCGTTGCAAAGAATCTAGACTTATTAGGGCCACTAGAACAGGGTCTATTCCTCTCTGGTTCCCCCTGAATATCAAGCACCTAGCATAGTACTTGGTACATAGTTAAGTACTTAGAAATCACATAATAAATAAATGAATGCATTGCTTCTGATTTTTACCAATGGGATGCAATTAATGCGAGTCTAATGAGGTTATTTTTTAGGATATATTTTGATTGAGAATACATTATATCAGTAATCTGAAAGGAAAGTTCATCACTCATAATCCCATCACTCTAACAGAACAACTATGGCCATCTTTTATATATCACTCATATTTTGTGGCTGGTTTAGAAAGAATAGATTTTGGAATCCTCACCCCTATCTCCAGGAGTCCTATGGATTTGGCCTATTCTTGTGGACACTAATTTACCTAGGTCTTGGGAAATTACCACTTTATTAGGATTGTCTGCAACCAGTGTTTGAGGCCTGCACTGCCTGGAACAAGTCTCTGCTCAAACAAGTTTCAATTCACCTTTCTTGCAAAATAGGAACCTTGCTACCTACCTCTCAGGGGTTGTCTTGAGGATGAAGGAGAACTGGGTGGTGAGAGTGGCTTGGAAAATGGGAAGTGATAGACCCATGCAAACTTGCCATTAGGGAGCTCAAGTTAGTGCAATGATGCTTTGTGGACTGGGAAGCAATTTCACAGTGACTCTCCCCAGTAATGCTGTGAGATGGGCAGGCGGGTATCATTGTCTGCATATTACAGATGAGAAAACTGAAGCTCAATGGGAATAATACCCATGGGCTTGACTTCCAGAATATACCCGGAATCCAACCACTTCATTCCTCTCCACTGATGTCATTCTAGTCTGAGCCACCATCATCCCTCATCAGGGCTCCTGCAAGTCTTCAGCTTTGCCTTCCTGCTCCTACTCTCACTTCCCCCCTCCCCCACCCCACCCCTCTCTCCAGCCTGCAGGCAGAGTGATCGTTTTAAAACTGAATGCAGATCATATTGCTGTGTCTAAACCCTCCACTGCCTTCCAAGTCTATTTATAATAAAAGCCAGACACTTTCCATGGCCTCTGTGATATCAGACCCATGGCTGCCTTTCTGAGCACATCTCCTACCAACTTCCCCTGTCATTTACTAGACTCCAGCTACCTCTGCCTTCTGCTTGTTCTTTAAACAGACCAAGTCTGCTTCTGCTCAGGCAGGGCCATTGTAATTGTTGGTCCCATTACCTGGGCATTCTTCCCCCAGATCTTTGCATGGCTGCCTTCTTCTTGTCCCTCAGGTCTCCATTAAATGCCATCTTTGCTGATCCTCCTTTCTAAAATAGGCCCCCTCCCTTCAGCATCTCTTTATTCCATGACCCTGTTGTACCGTTTGAGGATATCTGTGTACGATATTGTCTATCTCCCACCTCTAGAAGGTAAACTTTGTGAGGAGTACAGAGACCTTCTTAGCCCTGTTTACCACTATATTGCCAACACCTAGCAGAGTGCTTGACCCATAGCAAGTACCAAGAGCCTGGAATGCAGCAGGTCGTCTAATGACCCAATATGGGGTTCTTCCCCGCTGGCAGTACATGCTTGACTCAGCTAGGCCACAGAGGTCTGGAATTCTAATGGCTGTGTATCCTGTATTGGCAGGAGGAAGTGGGGAAGGCAGCCCCCCGCTGCAGCATGAACTAATAATACCTCAGTGGAAGACTCTAGAAAGCCCCGTGAGAGAAAAGGTAAGACTCAAGATATCTCTTTTTCAGAGGCAGGAATGACAGCTCCATTCTGTCAGGCTTGGGGCAACCTATTCAGCTTTCCTGGAGGCCCAGGCATCACCATTAGTTCTGTTTGTGGCCCACTCTATCCTCTGTGTGTTGGTTTTGGAAATCCTAGATGGGACTTTCCTTCATTGTGTGACAAAGTTTTAGAACACTTCCGAATGCTATTAGTCGAGGAAATGAAAAGCCATGTTAATGCTGACACAAGCTAAGTGCAAATATGTGTCACACAAGTCACTGACTCTAAATTGGAATTGATTAAATATTGTCATTATTATTTTTGCTCTGCATAATACTTCTTTTATTTTATTGATGAGATAACTTGGAGAGAAAGAATAATCCAAACTGTTTTTAATAAGAGGCAGAGTAGGGACCTAGTACTGGGGACTTATATCTAAAAATCCAGGATGGTCCTTGGGCCGTGAAATACACAGGCTTTATCGAGGGGATTGGGAATAAGACAGAAAATATTATCCTGTTCTTACAGAGAGGACCTGTGCATCTAGGATATTCTTTGTGGTTCTGGTTTTCACAGCTAAAGTCAGACATGAAGCAGCTAGAAAGGATGATATGACTACTGTGTGCCAGTAACCGGCTATGGCACCTTCCACTTTCTAAACTTCAGTTTCCTCATTTATAAGATAGGGCTTAGAGTGAATAAGAAGGAAGAGAGCCGGGGAGAGGGGGTAGTTAAAAAGATCCCTTTGGGTTTAAACAGTCAGTGGCTTATTGGGCAACATATAAGAGCAAGATTACAGTAGGAGAGAGGAGCGAGCTGTGTCAGGAAAAATTTCAGACTTTGTAACTCTTGAGTCTGGAAAGGTAAATGGAGAGGAGAAATGTCTGGAATCCTTGAAATTATGGCTAGAATAATACATACCTGTCCAAAAATGCTCCAATTTGGATTTAATAAGGGAACTTATAGCGAAAATATTAGGACAAATGAAAGAAAGTAACATTTTATCCCAAAGACAATAAATGCATGGAATTCATTTCATCAAAAAGTAGGAGAGGCTGAAAATAGCTTCAGGAAAAGTCTAGACAAATTAATGGATGGCCCTTCTGAGCAGGTTATTTTTAAAACATAAGATCTTGGATAGTCCAACCTATCCGTTATTGCCTGAGGAATGGATCTGATACTTTTTGTAGAGGCCTCTCTCTTCCCTCCAGATGTGGGATGCCGGGCATCCTCAGGAAGGGCCTGAGAAACAAAGTGGAGCTCCAGATCCTGTCTTTGTTTCCAGCCATTGTGTGCCCAGAATCTGGGTCATTATATTTTATAGAAATAGTTAGCACAGTGCCTGGCACCATAACTATTTGTTGAGTGAACAAATAAATGAGTGTCAGAGAGACAGAGAGAGTAGAAGGAAGGTCCCACTCAGGCCTCTTATTCTCATCTATGTAATTCATTCATCACACATTAATTGATCACTCACTGTGCACTAAATATTGTACTAGATCTTAAGGGGGATGCAAATATAGGGGACAGATTTCCAGTACCATGTGGAGCTGAAGATCTCCACAGGAATTTTCACCTTTCCCTGGGGGAAGAATAAACAGGTCAGCTCCCTGCACTTCCTAGGAGCGATGATGTTGCTCCTTCCTGGCACAGAGTGGAGTTGCAAGAGAAAAGCTGAATAAAGCTGGACAAGGAAGCTGCATAGATCTTGCAATGCTGTTTCATTGTTTTGCTTGAAATGTGCCCTGGAAACAAGGAACATCATACTTTAAATATCAGTGTCTGAGCATTTTCCAGACCAGAGAGAAATATTTTTGGATTACCCACTTAAAAATAAATATTTGTATTCATGTTGCACCTTGTGTCTCTTTGGGGGAGAGGTGACAGTGCTTTGATTTGTGTCAACTTTCCTTTTTTGTGTGGGCTGTCACAGGGCCACCTACCTCTTGGATAAGGGAATTGCTACAGCTCTGTTGGCATGTGCTTTTCGTCAAATGCCCACTGGGGACTCTGTCCTTGATGCTTAATGTGATTGGGCAGAATTGCTCCAGAACTTTGCTCCAGAACTCCCCAGAGTAAGGTGGCAAAGAACCAGTACCCAGAATAGACGTTGGCAGAGCTGAATCAGGGCATCAGAAATAGAGAAGTGAACCCCTTAGTGAAAGTTATTGGGCAAATATCCCCCTAGCTTCCTTTCCCCCATGGTTTTGAAATGTCCCTTCTTAAGAGAAGTCAACAGGATAAATTAGCAAAAAAATAGCGAAGGACAGGGTTGCCCAAGTGTCCTGGATCGGAACCTTCAGATCTCATCAGAGCCCTTGGTGGCCCCAAAGTCTCAGGGATGGGAAGTAGGGTTTGAGGCAAATAAGAAGAGGAATGCGCTTGGAAGAGGCAGGCCCCCAACCAGAGGTGGCAAAGCAGGTGACCTACTTTCTTAGACACGCCAAAACTAAGCTTTGAGGTCAACCTTAAAAGGGGAAGAAGCTCCGCTCTAGCAAGAGCTTCTGTGAATTGAAAGAGACTTCAAGAGTTTATTGGTTCCTTGGTCTCAAAGTAGAGAGCACATATTTAAAACACTCCAAAGAATTAATCCTGTTTTAAATATGTAAAAATCCTGTTTTAAATAAATAATTTCTTCCTTTAAAAGAAAGTTCAACTGCCCTAAGTTGGATTGTTGAAGCATGGAAGTTTATTATGACTTGGATTTTTAATTTCTTTGAAATTTTCCACACTAATAAGGTAAAAAGAGATAAAAAGCCCATTTTTAAAGATATAAAAGCAATTATAAAAACAAGGAAAGATGCACGAAATAAAACTAACCCATGATCCCACAGCCGAGAGGTAACTATGATAATCCTTTGGTTTATTTCTCTCTACTTTTTTCCCTTTACAAAGGTATATTTAAATACGATATTCAGTGTTGTGTTTTGAGCCTTTGTGCTTAATGACTATCATGTAGACTTTCCTGATAATTTAAAATTATTATAAAATTATTATTATTATTAAAATTATTTAAAGTCATCGTTTTTAATGACTATCTAGTGTTTTGTCATATGAATGGATCATCTTTTATGTAACCATTCTCCTGTTTTTGGACATCTAGGTTATATTTCATTAGTTGTTATTATAAGTGATGAGCATCCTTGTGTATAAACCTTTGCCTGTGCTTCCATTTGTTCCCTTCAAACAGGGTCTTATATTACTGTGTCAGAGGGTCCAAATGTTTTAAAACTTTTGGTCCATGCTGTCAAATTATTTTCCAGTGAGTTGGTATCAGTTTAAATTCTCACTGGCAGGGTGTGAGAGTACCCATTTTACAGTATGCTTCACTGCATTGTAATTTATGGTTTTAAAAAATCTTTGTCACTTTGATTTTTTGAAAGGTATCTTTAAAAAAAAAAAAAAAAAGGAAGGGGGGCAGTTACCAGTGATGCTGAACATGTTTTTCACACTTATTGGCCATTTGTATGATATCTTAAATGATCTATGCTGGGTACCTAGCAACATTGGCCATCAGCAAATTTTCTCTTATGTGTAAAATATATCTTCTTTTGCACCTATAAAACCTTAGTGTGAAGGTCTCCTAATTGTCTCCTCTGAGATGACTGGTGTATCCAAACCAAGAGCCAAAATAAAATAAAATAAGAACCCACCGTGAAGAAGCTTCCTTGGTATTTTAGATAACAGCCAACATGTATGGGGGGCTTCCTGTGTTCCAGGCACTGTGATAAATTCTTTATATTCACTATGTTACTTAATCCTTACAAGATCTCCATAAAGTTGACTATTTTTGTTTCTGTTTTATAAATGAGGAGACTGAGCTATAGGGAGGTTCGGTAACATGCCCGAGTTCACACAACTGCGCTGTCAGAGCCAGCACTTGAGCCCAGATCTGGCTCCACACAAAATTTGCTGTTGAAGATTGTGTTTTCCAGCATTGGCCTTTCCAGACCTGCGTGCACTTACACCACATTTCAGCTTGGAGTTTATTTCCTTTGTCTTTCAGGAGAAGGCAGATGGGGGAGGGGAACTGGGTCCTTCTGGGATTGAAGTTCTTTCATGTTTGGGCTGGAAATGCAATTGACCCTTTTCATTCATTTCCTGTGAATCAATGTCAGAACTCTGTGCTCCATCCTGGGCCCATTCCTGGGAGCCTTGTTCCCTGCTTTTAGGAACTGACATTGTTTTGTTGTTGCTTTTAGCATCCACTCAAAGCTGAGCTCAGGGTAATGGCTGAGGGGCGAGAACTGATCCTGGACCTGGAGAAGAATGAGTAAGTGGACTTCTCCTTTGTCTAAAATGAAACAACTCACTTCCATGTCAACGCCGGACGCAGGTGCCGCTGTTTTGGAAGAAAGTAGTTAATACAGTGATCTAAGCTCTCAATCCTTGGTTCCTCCATGGGGAGTGTCTTGCAAAGACAGCATTTCTACAATTTCTTGAATTGCTGTGAAATTACTGAACTGTGTGACATCTCCTTAGATTGTATTTTCGGGGCTTCTTAGAGTTCACTGCAGGCACACAGGGGTGTGTGTGTGTGTGTGTGTGTGTGTGTGTGTGTGTGTGAGACGAGGGAGGGATGACTGGAGGACTTTGGCAGCTGTCTTACTAGCTCCAGCACAGCGCATGGCAGGAAGTGAAGGAGATTAGAGGAAAATAGTGGAGAGCAGAGAGGCAAGGTGGAGTGTTGTGGGATTTGGCGCCTCAAACCCTGGCTGCTCCATCTGTTTTGGGTCAACTAAATCTGAGATTCTGCCAATAAGGGCATGGTCAGCAGTCTCCGGGCTTCATCGGGCAGTTCCTCCATCTTCTTAATCTCATTCATCTTGGGTGGCAGCCTGGCTCAAAAATATTTCCCCATTGATTTGCCATCAAGCGCAGTTGTATCTTGATTCATGTTATTGAGCAGGTGAATAGACATAATGCATGACTGCGTCTGTTGCCAATTCTTTGGCCATTCTTAATCTGCTTGGCCAGTGGAGAGCTCTCCTTACTCGGCTGGGAGACCCTGAAGGCCTTTGGTGTTTCCTCACCAATAGTCCCTTTTCATTCTGCTGCACGGACCTTGCAGATAAGGCTACATGGCTCAGAGAACTGCCTGTCTCTTCTTGGCAGCCTCCAGAGTCTGCTGAGAGCAGATGAGCAATCAAACGCATCACTGCCAAGAAAGGGATGTATAGGGACCTTCCCATATCCAGAAGGATGGGAATGGCTGCTAAGTTTGAGTGGAAACTGAAAATATAAATTATTCCAAATTTGGACTTTTTGGACACTTGCAAAAGACGATGAGTGGAGTCAGAAGTTTCGTAAAAGTTCGACTTACATAGCATGCGCAGTAATGGGGCTTCATCCACGTCTTCCCTTTGCCTCTAGTATATGGCCTTCGGGAAGCCAGAAAGATGGGCTGCTCAGTCATTTTTGCTGCTTTCCTCCTGAGACTAAAACCAGCCTAGGAATGTGTTCCTTTTATCCCATTTCCCTGGAACAGACCTGGCTGGCTGAGTCCCCAGAGCGTGCAGGCTCTGCCTACCTGGGATTTCTTCCTGCGTTTTCTTCCTTTTGTCCTGCAGGAAAAGGCCATTAGAGGGTCAGTTCTTGACAGTCTCTTTCGGGGGCCTTCTTTAACTTCTCATGGCCCCAACCCTCTAGCTCTAGTCTATATGTCCCTATTGCCCCCTCAATCTAATCTGTCCTATTCTGCCCCCCGGTAGAGCGTTTGACCCTTCAGCTTCCTCTGGGTAGTCCAAGGGATGGAGGTGATGTCATGGGAAAATTCTTAGGAGTTGGACTGGCCAAGCAGAGGTCCCATCCTTCCCTCGTATTTTGGAACCTTTGCAAGAAGTCATAGGAAGTTAGAGTGGGAAGAAGCCCTAGAAAATGCTGACTACAACAATCTTATGCATAGATGTAGAAACTTCGACACAGAGAGGCACAGGCACTTTTCTAAGGTCACACAGCATGTAAATGAGAGAGATGAGACTAGGATCATTTGTGTTCTTGGCTTGGGTCTGGAGTCAGAGAAACCCAGATTCAACTTACTAGCTGTGTAACCTGGGGCAAATTGCTGCCTCTTTTGGAACCTCAGTGTCCTCACCTGTAAAATGAGGATAGTAATATCAACCTCATAGGGTGGTTGTGAGGACTGAATGAGGTGATGTGCACAGAGTACTTATAGAGCACCCGGTGAGTGGTCAACAGCTGTTGTGATTTTCATTGTCCCGCACTGAGGTTCCAGAGCAGAGCCCGAGGATGTGGTTCTATTGTCTGCTGCTCCCAGCAGCTCTGTGCTTTCCCAGTGAGCAGTGGGGGCCTGGATGTGGTTCCTGGCCTCCTTGAGTTGGCAGGAGGCAGGAGACTTGACAAAAATGGAAGCAACAGAGCCAAGCAGTATGACCTCACCAGGTATCCCTGGGGGACGGCTTCCTGCTATTTTCGTCTAAATTGGGCTTTTTGTTTTTGAACGTGTGTTAGCAAGCGGAACTCCAACTGCACACGACTTCCTAGTGTGTTTATTTCCCAAAGCCTTCTCATTCATGGTGCGTGCGAGCCCGGATTCAAAACAGCTTTGGGGGAGACGATGCTTTTCTGAGTGTTCAAGTTGCTGTGTTAGTTTTTATAATCCTGTGCTATTTGAGGGGAAACTAGGCCCTGTGCTAAGTGACTCCTCCGGCTCTGGTTCTTACCGTCCTCAATGGATTCATTCATTTTTTTTAATCTACTCTGTGTCTGTAGCGTGCCAGGTACTAGTGTCAGTCCTGGGGATGTAGCTGTGAATACAACAGTTCTGCCCTTTGGAGCTTATAGTCTAGTGGCAGAAACAGTAAACAAATAAACAAGTGAACGTGGTGTATATCCGATGACAAGCGCTGTGGAGGAAGCAAAGGAACATAAGGGCTCGTGAGAGCAGGGGGTGGGGAGGGAAGAGCTATGTTAGAATGGTGATCAGAGAAGGCCTTGGTGGTGAATTGATATCTGAGTCGAGACCTAGAGGAGGTGAGGAAGTGAACCATGTGGACGGCTGGGAGATGACAGTTCTAAGGAGAAGGAACAGCCAAGTTCAAAGACCCTAATAGATTTACGAAGGTTTCTACTCCCCCTCCCCCCCACCCCACCCCCCCATACTTGGATCCCCAGGCCTTCTAGGAGCTGTGGGCAAGGGCTTCTGGGGCTCTGAGGGGAGGGGGAAGACAGTTCTAATTTCTTTTTCATCATCCTGAGGTGTCTGGCCTTCTCCCATCATCAAATCAAAGCCCGCATGCTAATGCATGGCCCAAAATAGCAGTGAGCAGGCTTTTAATGGAATTCACTCATGGAACGATGGCTAAGAATGGTGAGGACGGAGGAGCACGGGGGATGGGCCAGGAGAAAGGGGGCATAGCAAACAGGCCTTCAGCTCAGGCAGCAGACACCCCAAGATGCATTAGTTCAATAGCACAGCAGCCAGCAGCCTTTTTCTGCTGTGAAGCAACTCGGGATAAACGGATGACATTCCCATGGGAGACACACACCCTCCTCTGTGTTTACTGCAGCTGAAAAAGAGTGACATCTTACAGATAATCTGAATATGGCTTTCATATCGCACAGTCGAGTTCGGATCCTGGCTCTGCCACTTATTAGCTGTATGCCCTCTTTAAGCCTCAGTTTCCCTATCTGGGGTATAATTATAGTCCCATGCTGTAGAGCCTTGGGGAGGATGAAATGAGATGCATATAAAGGGTCCAGCATAGTGCCTGGCTTGTATTCCACACTCAGTAAAATGGCAACTACTATTTCTTGCTCAGGGTTGTTTTTTTTTGCTGAGGAAGATTGGCCCCGAGCTAACATCTGTGCCCATCTTCCTCTGTTTTGTATGTGGGATGCCGCCACAGCATGGCTTGATAAGCAGTGCGTAGGTCTGCACCCGGGAGGTGAACCTGTGAACCCCAGGCCGCCTAAGCGGAGCTTGCAAACTTAACCACTATGCCACCAGGCCAGCCCCTTGCTCATGGTTTTTTAATTGCAAAAGCACTACATACTCATTGTAAAACATGTAGCAATACCAAAGATAATAAGTAAAAGAATGAAAGTCTCCCACCCACAAGGAGAATTCACCGTTAACAGTTTGGTGGGCATACTCTGGACCTTTTCTATGGGTGTGAGAACACAATCGTACAGAAGCACACACATGGGCTGCTATTTTTGTTGGGGAGGGAGGAGCAGAAATGAGGTTATATTATGCGTATTGTTCCACACTTGTTTTTTTAGACTCAACTGTGTGTCATGAAAGTAGTACTCTGCTCTAATAAAGTATATATTACATCGTTTTACATTTACTCACGCATATACACATAATTTGCAAATGTTGGTGTGTAGCTGTTGTTAGGAGAACCTTACTTGTGATTGGGGCAGTGTGGTACAGTGGGGAGAGTGCTGAGCTCAGAGACAGATGATGTGGAATTGGTCATCAAGCCAGTCGGCCCTCCTGGGCCTCAGCTTTCTCATCTGTAAAATGGGGATTTTGTCCCAGTTGGGCTCTGAGAGCTTTTCCTGCACTATCTATTTAAAGGACACTGTGTAAGTGGACGAATGGAAAAGAAGTCCCTGCCTCAGGGAGTTTGCTCTCCAGTTGTGGAGACATCCCTGGAAATAGGGGGCAGTGGGATAAAGGCAAATGGCCCCCAAAGCCATGGATGAACTAGCTCAGGACCCACTCTTTAGACAATATAAACATGAGAAGGGAAATTACAGGGAAGAAATTATAGGCTGCTATTTCCACAACCCACAGTTTTGAGGCATAAATCCATAGTATTTTTTCTCCATGTAGTTTCCTCTGTGCTCTGAGGATTGCCTCATCAACCCAGAAACCATATTGGACAAAAACTTGTTTGCTATAATCAAGTGGAATCTTTCTTAGCTGTAGGCGTCTGGGGAGATGAATGCCTCCAGGGAGATGTCGGTCCTGGCTCTCTCCCATCTCCTTTCTCTACTTTTTTTCAGGAGGAGAGCACACTGCACTGTTGAGCCAGCTTGCAGGCTGCTCATCGGGCTGCGTTACCAGAGGGCAGGATCGCTACGTTACAAGGTCACCTTCCAAAGCTAATGAGCAGCTCGGCTGGTGGGCACTGTGCCCAGAGGACCGTTGGGGGCATACTTCTCTCTGCTAGTCTCTTAGGCACATTCTGGAACTCTCATCTCTTCACTATACTGTCCTTCCTTGAGTCCAAAGGTTGATAAGATTTAAATTTTGGCTTGGGAAAGGGAGAGATGTCCTTAGGTCTCTCCCCACGTATTATGTTCCAGCCCTAGCTAAAGAGATATCCTTTTTGTACAAATCTAGCCAGTAAGAATGGATATTTGTTTTCTTTTGTGTGTTTATCTACCTCTAGACCTCATGGGGAACAGTGATTGTCAATGCAGAATTTGGGCATTTAGAGGTTTGCTGATTCTAGTCCCCACCATTACTTCTAATCTAATCTCTCTTAACATCTCTAACTTCTTATCAATCCCTCAGAGATACCACAGGGAAGGAGACTGCTTTTGTTATCCTGGAAATCAAGCTACAACCTGGAAAATTAACAGTCATTCACTCTGATGGAGTGATCCAACTCCCTAATTTTCTCCTTTTTCCCTCACCCCTACTGAGTTGTATGATACTGGAGGACCCCCAAAGGGGAGAATTAGCAGGCAGGAAAGGAGTTTTTCAGCAATAGACAGGATGGATTAGTTACCACCTCTTACTGCTGCTCTTCTCTTCCAAGGAGGCCTGGGAGAAATATGCAGCTGATCCGGAGCAAAACCCTGCTTACCACCCAGGCCGTGGAGCTCCCCCCACCCCCACCCTCCCAGCTCCCTCTGGGGTCAAGAGTAGACTTTAACATCTTATCTAGGATAAAGGACAGCTTTCTTCGACCCTCTCTTGTCAGGAGCTTCATTTGTTGTTGGCAATATTCAATTTCCTGGATCAAAGAGAAGCTTAAGAAAGGCTTAAGATGATATCCCAATGCTTTTGGTAAACCGTGCTTTACTGAGTTGCATTTAAATGAGTCACAGACATATGGATTACATTTCACTTAAAATACACATGGCTTAAGAAATTAGAGGATGTCACTCTTTAACCAAGTATTTGGCAGATCTAAAGTATTCAAAATGTTTTTCCAAACTCGGCACACAGCTGGGCTCCCTGCTCCCTGCAGCTGAGATTTTATAACCCAAGGAGACTGGTGCCGAGGAAACGGTTGGATGGCTGGGTGGAGACACCAGAATTTGATGAGAGCTGCTTGTGAGTGTCTGAAATTTTCTTCAAACATTTTTTTGAAGTATCAGGAACTGAATTAACCCCGCTGCACTGACTGAGGCAGTGAAGGCATAAGTGAATTTGAATTCCAAGCGCTGTGCTCGGTGCCTTGCCCCAGAGAGAGACCTCGTGGTCCTGTCTGAGATGTAGTTTCCAGTTGTAGCTTTGTAGACTGAGACTGATTTCATTTACAATTCTCATGTTTCCAGAACCCCTGGAGTTGCAGACCAGATGGATTGCCAGCCAATCTGATGTGATCTTTGTACAAATTCTCAACCCCACCCCTGCATAAGCAGGGTCTCCGTTACTTCTAAATCATTGGAAACATGACATTGCTTTCTTAGAGTCCATTGCGTAAAGTCAGCCTAGTAATTACGAGTGGTGATCTGAAGGGATGCAGCTAAATGGTTGCCTGAAGAGAGTATCAGGGAGCATCGGGAATTGAAATAACCTAGACATGTTGATTCTGAAGACTGTGAGTACATAGGCCCGAAACACCGTAATCCATACGGTAGGACAGGCTTGGGCTCTGGTGCCAGAGACCCAGGTTCAGTTACAGGTACTGACACTTCCTGGTTAGGTGGCCTTCGGCAAGTCACTTGCCTTCTGGATGTTATCTCTTCATCTATATTTACAATAGTACTCACCCCTTAGTGAGTTTTTACTGAGAGCCAGTCACTGTGCAAAGGCACTTCACATACTGTCTTATTTAATCCTCATGGCAACCCTTTGAAGGAGATATTATTGTTATTTACATTTTATAAATGAGGAAACTCAACTGTGAGGAATTCAGGTAATTTACCCAATATCAGGCGGAGCCAGGAGTCAAACTCAGGTTTGCCTCTTTCTACTGCCTGCATGGAAAATAGACATTAATACCTTCATTGCAGGGTAGGGTAGGCTGAAGAATGTGCCCACCCCGCCACCCAAGATATCCACAATAATATCTGGAATGTGAGACCATGCTACTTTATATGGCAAAAAAAGAATCTTTGTAAGTGTGACTAAGTTAAGGATCTTGAGAAGGGGAGATTATCCTGGATTATCTGGGTTGGCTCTAAATGCAATCACAAGTATATTTTTAAGAGGGAGGCAGAGGGAGATTTTCTCCTAGACAGAAGAGGAGAAGGCAATGTAATCACAGAGGGAGAGATTGGAGTGATGCACCCACAAGCCAAGGAATGCAGGCAGCCACCGGAAGCCGGAAGAGGCAAGGAATGGAATCTCGCAGAGGGAGTGCAGCCTTGCTGACACTTTGCTTTTGGCTCAGCAATGTCGATTTCCTTCTTCTGGCCTCCAGAACTGTGGGAAAATAACTTTCTGTTGTTTTAATAAACCAATTTGTGGTAATTTGTTACACAGCAGCCATAGGAGATAAATACACAGGGTTTGTGAGGTTTAGTGATAATGTATTATGATGTGGTTAGTACAATGCCTGGCACATAGCAAGCATGTTTTCAATACATGCTAACTTTCATTAGTGCAAAGTCAGGAACAAATGTTTTCTAAAGTGTCTTGGTGATGCAAAGAATTGCATGTGGCCCCTGTGACTGTCTTCAAGTATGAAAATGACAAGAGAAAAACATATTGAGAAATAGTTTGTGGTTATCAGCATTTCCTAAGTTCTGGGTCATGTTCTCTGATGCTCAGTCTGCCTTCAGGTAACTTCTAGCTGAGGAATGATGGTCAGATATTAACGATGTCAACAATCACGGTAGTAGGTACAATGTAGATGCCTATGTAGCAGGCTCTGTTCTGCAGTCTCTACATGCTTCATCTATTTGAATCGTCACAACAACGCTATGAGATATAGGTACCTGTATTAGCTCTGTTTGGCAGATGGGAACCCCGAGGCATGGAGCACTCTGACTTGCTCAAGGTCACCTAGGTGGGGAGGGCAGAGCCAGGACATGAAGCTAGATCTCTTTGACTCCCAAGCCCAGCCTCTTAGCTGTGGCCTTAAATTGCCTCTCAGATGCCCTGTCCCTGCTCAGGATGCTCTTCCTTGGTTAGCACTGGCATCACTTCTCCATTTTTCTGCACTCCTCCTTCCCTTCTCTTCTGCCTTCCTGGGCCCTGGTTCAAATTTGGATTCCCGTGTACTGTAGTGGTGTAATCCACGCAGGTTGGATGCAGAGCCTGGCTCCTTGCCCCCGCTAGTGATGTAAGCTTTGGCAAATTGCTCCACCTTTGCAAGTCTCAGTTTCCTCATCCACATGATGAGCTAATAATAGTGGCCACCTTGTCGGATGTCACGTGAATTCGATCATGTAATGCTCTTAAAGAACTTACATGGTGCCTGGCGCACTGTGAGAGCCCAATAAATAGTCGCTATTATTTGTATTTTGCAGGGTCGGAAAAACATTTAAGAATGAAGTAAGAGGGAATTCCCCTGAGTTGGTTTCCAAATGTAATTAAGAAGACTTGGCCTTAAAACCCATTGCCCCTGGGAGGAAACTCACTTCTGCTCTCCAGCTGTGCCCAGTTTGACCTAACTGTATCTCAAGAACACAGCTTTGCAGGGTTCTCCAGTCGGCCAAACTGTACCTCTTTTCTGGGCCTGCAGAATCAGTGCCCAGCCCCTCCCTTGGCAAGGCCCCGAACTGTCCGATAAGGAGCTTGGAGGTTGTTCACCAGTTCCGGCTCTATCTCCTTCCAGGGACCCACAGCCAGGGCTGCCTGTGTAGCCAGGAAGGATGTCCACAGTTTTCTTTTGTCTCAGGCTTATTTCTCCTGGCGGCCCTTCAACAGGAGCATGGGGTAAAATGAATGGGAGGAAGCTGTCAGCTGCCCTGCTGGCCTCGGATCGACCCTTGTTGGAGTGAAGGGAAGCTGTGCACTTGGAGGAAGTTGGGGTTGATTCTTGAGTTTGAGGATGCCTTTACCAACAGGCTGTTTACCTTAAGATAACCATAGTTTGCATCCAGTGAGTGAGCATTTACCATGAACATACTATTTTACATAGATTTTTTTTTTAACCCTACGTGTATACTGTATCCTCAGTTTATAACATTTTTTTTTCACTTGGAAATATAGCAGGCAATCCTCAAATCATTTAAAAAAATTTACACAAGAACTTTTAGGAACGTTTGAAAACTTTGATAATACAATGCTAGAAAAAAATTACACAAGTTATAGAGTTTTAAAGTAAATAAGATCATACTTTATATGCTATTCTACAATTTGCTTTTTCATTATTTATCTTCAGTATCTTTCCACATTAGCACATTTATAGACCTATTTCATTCTTTTTAATGGTGACGTAGGATTCCATTGAATGGATGGACCAAAATTTATTAATTTCTCTATTAATGGACAGTTAGGTTTCCAATTTCTTGTTGTTACAAATAATGCTGCAGTAATAGGCTTATACGTAATCTTTAAGCACATTTGCAAGTATTTCTGTAGGATTGATACCCAGAAGTAGAGTTGCAAGGTCACATAGCATATATGTTTAAAATGTTTTAAATTTTGACAAATTATACCTCCCACTCCACAGATTCCTCTCCAAAGGCTGTACCCTTTTACATTCATACAGCAGACTATGAGAGTATATTATAGATACATTTCCATGTAAATTTATTGGATCATTTTTAATGACTGTTAAAAGTTAAAAATTTTAACTTTTAAAATTTCTTCTAATGAAAAATTATCAAATGCATGCAGAGGTAGAGAGGATCATATCGTGAATCCCCATATACCTGTCATCCAGATTCAGTAATAATCAAGATGCCTCGATTAATTTAATCACCCTATGTTGATGGGCATTCAAGCTCTTTCCGCTTTTTTTTTTTTTCATTTTTACAGACAGTGCTGTCATGAACACCCTTGTGTTCAAACACCTTCTTTGGAAGGTAATTCTAGAGGATCACCTTCTAGTTGTGAATCACTGGGTCAAAGAGGGTTTAGGTGGAACACATGGATAGATAAAGGCATGTTGCCTTTGGCTTCTCTGTAAGTTATATCCTGCCACCCTTGTTGAGAGAACTTGTTTTCACACTCTCTCACCAATGGGTTGATTGTCAAGCTTGGGCAGACGCTTTAAACCCAAACTCTCCTGCCTTCTTTTTTTTAACAGCTATATTGAGATGTAACTTACATACCGTACAGTTCATCCATTTAAAGTATACACTTCAATGTTTTTTAGTGTATTTACAAAGTTGTGCAACCCCACCATATTCTAATTTTTGAACATTTTCATCACCCCAGAAAGAAGCCATCAATAGTGTTAGGGGTTGAATGTGTCCCCAGAATTCGTATGTTGAATTTCTAATCCCCAGTACCTGAGAGTGACCTTATTTGGACATAGAGTCATTGTGGATATAATTAGTTAAGGTGAGATCATGCTGGCGTAGGGTGGGCCCCTTCTCCAGTATGACTGGTGTCCTTATAAAAAGGGGAAATTGGACATAGACATGCACACAAGGAGAATGCCTTGTGAAGATTTGAGTTATGCTGCCACAAGCCAAGGAAATACCAGAAGCTAGGAGAGAGGCCTGGAACAGAGCCTTCCCTAGTCCTTCAGAGGGAGCATGGCCCTGCCAACACCTTGATTTTAGACTTCTAGCCTCCAGAACTATGAAATAATAAGTTTGTTTTCTAAACCACTCAGTTTGCGGTAGTTTGTTAAGACAGCCCTAGCAAACTAATATAAGCAGTCACCCCCCATTCTCTCCCACCCCCATCAGCTCTAGGCAATCACTAATCTGCTTTCTGTCTCTATAGTTTTGCCTATTCTGGATATTTCATCTAAAAGGGATTATATAATATGTGGTCTTTTGTGACTGGCTTCTTTCACTTAGCGTAACGTTTGTGAGTTTTTTCCATGTTGAATAGCATGTGTCAGTACTTCATTCCTTTTTATTGCTATATAGTGTTCCATTGTATGGATATACCACATTTTGTTTATCCATTCTTCAGTTGATGGATCTGCTACCTTTTAAGACAGAGCTAACTTGTCTCCATTCTACAAGGTTGATTTCAACAAATATTGATTGAGCACCTATGTGTAAAGTCCTATGCTAAGTGCTGTAGGGAGTAGATGCAAACACACTATCCTTGCCCTCTGGCAATTTACTCTCTATGAGAGAGACAACATGCAAACAGCATCATCCAAGGCAGATTGCAAATTTACATAAGAGAGTTGAACACAGGGGGCTGAGGAGGCAAGAGGGAAGAGAGAATTTCTGACTGGGAGATAGAGAAACTTCCCTAAGGAGGGTTACTTGGAGCTCTGTCTTGCAGGAGCAAGGAGGGGGAGCTTTGGATGAGGGAAAGAGGGGAGATGAGTGGAAGAATGAGAAAGGAATTCAAACTGAGAAATTAATATATAAATATTTGGTCTGGATCAAGGGGAACCAAAACTGTAAGGCTAATAATCTCTTAGGAATTCAGTATTGCAACTAGCCAAATCATTTGAATTCAGAAGAGTGGTATGTGGGGAATGGGAACCGGCTTTCTTTTCCTTCCATGGCTCCGGCTATCTGAGGATTTGAGTGGCTTAAAGCTGAATTTTTCATTCTTCTATTTTTGACTTTGAGTTGAGCTCTCTCTTGCCTCAGGTAAAACCATGTGGTCTGGGAGGTAGGTGGGGTATTTCTAGGAAAGGTGCTTGAGGTGCACTTTAAAGCTAGGCTGTATTTGCTACACCTTGGATGAGAAGAAATTCTTCCCCCGCCCTTCCCCACTGAAGGGAAATTTGTGCTGAGCTGAGTGGATGGAGGTGTGCCTGGTGGATGGAGCCATGGGCTGCAAGGGGCTGAGCACAAGGCAGAGGTGGCTTCTTTACAACTTGGGAAGAGGGGGGAGTCTCCTGAGAAGCAGGGCATGGTGGGCAGGATGCGGATGGATTCATGAATATACATTTGGATTTGGGAGATGCGCTGGAAGTCCTACTTTCTGGACCTCTATTTTCTCCCTAGCTTCGAGGATGTGCTGAAGCTCTTCATCCAGACTCCCTAGAAGTTGGAGGATGTTTCTACTCTCCAACCTTTTTGCTTGGGCAATGGAGCATGACTATCCCAGGAAAAAAATCTATGGGAGGAGGAGGCCGATACTGGGGCCTCTGGACTGGCTCTGTCCTGGGAATGAAACTGCATTTACGCTTCACCTAGGAAATATTTTGATTTTAAGAAAGTAAGCTTACTCTTTTTCTGCTTAGAACTCAGTGGTATAATACTGACCTTTGGCTGACACCTTGAATACTAAATGAATAGGCTTTTGGGCACCCTGGGGCAAGTTGCAGGTCTTCCTCAAACTCAACTGGGGGTAGGTATTGGGTTAGAGAGTCCCTGGCTTTTCTGATGAGAGTCTCTAGTGTACTGGGCTTGAGCTCTGGACTACTCATTGGGAATTCTTAACTTCTTGTCTTTCTTTCCTTCTCTTCCTTTATTCAACAAATAATGTGAGTGCCAACTACATGGCAGTTATTGGGCTAGGTCCTAGGTGTTCCCAGGAGAGCAATGGCAAGCTAAACATAGCCTCTGCCGTCATGGGGCTTAAAGCATGGTGGAGGAGACAGAACTAAAGTGTTACCGAGCAATGTGGGGCATGCTGTGATAGGGGAAGTAGAGGATACCCTGGGAGCATGGGGAGGGGAACCTACCCTGGATTGGGGGTCAGGGAAGGCTTCTAGGATGAAGTGAAGTAAGGAAGAAGTAGGTCGTGGTAGACCAAATGGTAGAGTTGGTTTATACAAGGGGAGGTGGGTTCAAAGCAGCAGAAACAGCAGGAACAAAGGTCCCAAGGCAAGAGTAACGTTTGAAGATAAAAAGAAGTTCTTTTTGGGTAGAGCAGAGAGTGAGAGGCAGGAAGTAAGTGGTGAGAGAAGAAGTTGGCCAGGTAGGCAGGGGTGAGTGCCTTTTAGGCTCCCTGAGGGGGTTGGGTGTTTATCTTGAGGGCGATGGGAAGCTGATGAAGAATATTTCAAAAGCCAGATAGCAACAGCATCCAAAATGCATTTGGGAAGGACCGCTTCAACTGAAGTGTAGAAGATGAATTGGAAGGGGCAAAGTAGCAATAGTAGTAAGACCCATTCAAAAGCTTTATTATAATCTGAGTAAGAAATTATTGTGATCTAATTTAGGGAAAAGGTAGCTGATATGGAGAGAAGGGGATGGATTACAGAGATATTTGTAAGGTGGAATCATGGAGACTGGGAGATGGGTTGAATATGGGCTGAGGGAGAAGAATGGATTCAAGGTCCAGTCTGAGATTCCTGCTTGAGTACGTAGTGGGGCAGTGGTGCCAGTTCCTGGGTTTGTCCTTAGCTTGTAATGGGACCTCGGACAAGCCACTTCTTTTTTCAGATCTTTAGTTTTCTCACGAGATGGAGATAATAATCCCCAGTCACCAACTTTGCAGGATCATGGTGGGGATCCACTGATAAAATCTTTGTGAAAAGTAGTGTCCTGTACTCTTTCCATGACCCTAAAAGGCCTGGCAGAAGCAAAGTCTGTCCTTACCCTTGTTATCTCTGTAATTTGGGCTCTTACGTAGTCTTCCCTCCTTATCTACAATTCTAAGCACTTGATCTCCCAGGAACTGGTGAGACCTTTGCCTGTTCTAGCAGCTGAGGCCTCACTGGGGGCATCTCTGGGGGTTCTCAAACCGCTTTTGTTGTAAACAATGATATCATTGAGTGGGTGGTGCTGGGCCAGGCTTTCCTCAGCCAGTTCAGGAGAAATGGGATCTTTATGACTTCTGTACTTATGGCTCTTTTCCAGTCCCTTCCATAGCTCCCATGTGCCCCACTGCCCCCTTTTCCTCCTTTTTCCCCCGAGGTTACAGATTTGCAGAAAACTGGCAGCCTCCACATTTTCTCCTCTTGCATCAGTCTCCCTGGAGAGAGGTCCAGATGGGCCGAGGGGCTATAATGGCTGCATTATATCAGCATGGTTTCTTTTTCTAAGTCCTCCCCAACCCCCACTCCTTTCTGGGGAAAGGAAGGGCAAGTCAAGGAAAGGGATTCCTTTGGAGGGAGACTGGAGTGCTCGAGAAAGAGGTGATGTAAGTGTTGGGGGAGATGTCAGGCTCCTTGTATTCTAGAAGCTCTTTATCTCTTGACTTCTTGATGGTACATTTGGGACTTGGGGAAGAATGCAAAGGTTAAACTGGCCTTTCGGTTATGTGGTGATAGGAATATGGCTGTGGAAAAGGAGATCAGCAACGTTGAGTGAGGATCCTGAGTTCCTGATCCCTAGGCCGCCCTTGCTTTCTTGCCCTCAACACACACACACTCACACACACACACACACACACAAATGTGCGCACACACTTGTACACATGCACCCCTCCTCCATAGCTGTGTAGGCAGCTTGTTAGGGGAAATGGGAAGGTGGTTGCAACACTGGTTTGCAGCAATTCTCGGAAGGAAGGAAGGAAGGTGGGCTACAAAACAGTGCCTTGGCTTCTAGGGGCAAGATAGTAAGACCTATCTTCTATGTGGCCTGTTGGTGTTTGCAGAGCACTTTCACAAATAACCTTGTAGGGGAGGAAAAAATAATTTCCCCTCTATCTTTCTAAGTTCTCGACTGGGAACCCTGTAACAAAAGGTAGATTAACAAGAGAAAAACAAACAAACAGAATTTTATTAACATGTAGATGGGAGATACATGTATATATGGAAAAACATGTGTAACTCAGAATTCAGACTTCTATAGCATCTTCAAGAAAGAACAATAAATTTGTAGAGGAATGACAGGACAAAGGAAAGAAGTTTTAGGCTTCTAAAGGCGGTAAACTGTGGGTAGGTAAATATATGGGAAACAAATGGTAGATAAAGGCTAGTTAGTAAAGTTTGTTGCGTAGATTTCTCTGGTGCCTTCTCCAGGCTGATAGGGTCTAAAGTTGTCTCTGGTGATTAACTCTGTCCTTCCTGGTAGAGAGGGGAGGAGGGATGCCTTTGAAAACTTATGTCCTGCTTTTAGGCAAATAGGGGGAGGATAGGGAGCTTTTCTTGTGTCTGCTTCTTCTCACTTGCCTTCAGCTCCAGATGATCCTCATGCTGAAGTGACCTATTTGGGGTGGCATAATCTGCCACCCTTCAGCCACCTCTAATCTTCGTGATGGTAGATGCCGGGTGGAGGGCAGGAAATGTGCTTGCCTTGTTCACATCCCCTAGCACGGTGCTTGGCACACGATTGGCCTCCATAAATATTTGTGGGATGAGTGAGTGGACCTGCAAATACAGAGCCTGAGGTACTGCAGCTTGGCCAAGGATCCAGAGCAAATACATGGTGAATTCAAGCCAGGAGGAACTTGGTCTTCCCGATACCATGTGCCCCGCAGTTTATACTGTATTATGCTGCTTAATAAGCAATTATTGATGAGATTGCACGAATATCCTTCCTCTCTGCTTCTGGGGGGTGTCTGGATGGCCTAACTCTTGGACTGTCTACCTCTGACATTTAGCTTACTCGAGTTTATTTAGACTGATGGGCTTAGAAACAACATATAACTGTGATGTTGGGTAAGTTGCTTTTGCTCTTTTTCAGATTCTTCATCTGTAAAAGTGGAGTGGGGGGAGGCACTAGACAGAGGGTGGTGTATAGAGATTCTTTTGTCGCAGTAGACTCTGCAATTTATACACTAACTCCCCTCCCCTCCAAAAAAACTTTATGGAAAGGATACGGGGCACCACATAGAAGGAGGGAAAAGCTGAAGAACTAGGATTTGAAAAGGACAGGATCTAAGAATTCACAGAATCCCTTCAGGTGCCACCACTGGGGTGCCTCTGCTCCAGCCGTTTGCACCAGCTGTCACTCATCTTGAAATTCAGAGAAATGAGATCTGATTGTCCTGGCTTGTCGTGACTGACCCCAGGTGCCTCCGGTCAGCGTGCAGCGAGAGGGGAACATTTCTCTAAATGCACATTGGGGAACTGTTCTCCCAAGAAGGTGGTACAGGTGCTGGAGCCTGGGACAACAGATGTCCATGACAATCTAGGTGGGCTTGCCGAGTTCCAACCTTCTTGACTTGTGCTTTAGGATGCTAACATTGGGCAAGGTTTATCAAAGTTGCTGGGATACTTATTCAGAGCCTAAAAGGGACCAAGCACCCACATTTTGGGCAGGTTGCTTTGTGGTCTTCATCCACCCGCTTTTTGTTTGCTTGTGTTATTTCATAGGGTGGTCCACCTAGTTCCCTGTTTCTAAGCATATTCTCAAAGGTCCAGCGATCTTAAAGGTTCCTTTTCTTCATTTCCCCCCTGTCTTATCCACAAAGTTTATCTCTGCAATATGGTCATTATCTCTTGCATTAGTCCCTCCCTTTAGGTTAATCTGATAAACAAGCGCTGTGGTTATTGTGGTTATTTACCAAGAGCTCGTTGCTAGAGAGGCTGCTGTCAGGCAATGTTTTCACCTTTTTATTTTTCTCAGAAAGAGTAAACATAGTACCCCAGTTCCCTTAACTGTTCTTATGCAATTCCAGTAAATACCCATTATGGGCTATTTAGGACACTGTAAAATATACCCGTAAACTCTTCTTGGGTGAGCCATTTTGAGGGCCCCCCAGGTCCCTGCCAGTTAAGCTCCCTGATCCCAAGAAATCGGCCCTATTTGCACAGAGAGGTTACTTATCTTTGTGAAAGCAGCTAAGAGGGAGGCATGAAGAGGATTAAATAAAGACCTTGCTGGCCAGA